TTTGGTTGACCAAGACTGGTTTAGGAACAATTTTATGGCATCCAACTTTAGTGTCCTAAAGGATATGCACAGCGTTCCGGTGGTGCTAGATTGGAGCTTAGGCTTGGACGATACTTCATTACGATTATTTCAGAGATTCATTCCACAACATGATTCCAGGGCTTATGATGACCCAACACCCACCTGCAAAATACAAAATGTCACTTCCACTTCTCGGCCAAGCCTTGTATGTTCCTGTCCTCGGGGTTTTGAGGGAAATGCCTATCTTGGCTACGACTGTCACGGTAAACAAACATCTAGCATCTCTCAAAAAATTTCAAACACATGCACAAATTAATTAACAATTTGTCATCTGTTCCACACTTTTGTTTACCATGCACCAAATTATCGCATTTTAGTCAGCTTTGTTGGTTTGTATTTCGTGATAATCTTTCACCATGATTTTCATTTGCTTTCTTGTCTCTGCATTGCAGACATTGATGAATGCACAGATCAAAACAGATGTGGGCCTGGGGCCCCCTATTGTTTGAACCATAATGGGACGTATACATGCTATGGATACAGAGTGGGTGGAAAGAAAAGGATCAAACTGATTCTTATAGGTATGTTTCCGTCTTGCAATTATTTCATATATCAAAGATGACTATGCCATGCCAATAATACGAAAGGCAACCAATATGCAGGCAACAGGATAATGTCGTGTAAGTTTTACTCACGCAAATACCAACACGAATTGGACGCCTGAAAGTTAATCAAACCCAATTTTTAAAAAACAGATTGTGCAACTAGAACCTTAGAACTGAAATTGGCGATAAAAAATACACACTTTGATTTTTGGTAGTCGCACATGATTCGAGTTTATATAATCAACCAAGTTATATACAACACCAGTTTACAAAAAAAGGGTTCTTAAACGATCCTTATCATGTCTAGTTCAACATATTAAAAGGACATTTTCAAAATCGAAACAGAGCACAATGAAGTAGTTAAGGCAACTCTGTCACAAAGTAGTCTACAAACTTTTGATATTAGCAATACTTCCATCATCACTTAGTTTAGTTATGCAGGTCTTGGAGTGGGTGTGGGACTGTTGTTACTGCTGACTGGTGCATTGTGGGTACATGAAGTCCTAAAGAAAAGAAAGAGAATTAAACGCAAGGAATTTTTTTTCAAACGAAATGGTGGCTTATTGTTAGAACAACAATTATCTTCAGGTGAAGTTAATGTAGAGAAAATTAAGTTGTTCAAGTCAAAGGAGTTAGAGAAGTCCACTGACAATTTCAATACTGATAGAATTCTTGGCCAGGGAGGCCAAGGTACTGTTTACAAAGGCATGCTGGCTGATGGTAGAATTGTAGCTGTGAAAAAATCTAAAATAGTGGATGAAAGCCAACTTTCAGGTTTCATCAATGAGGTTGTGATTCTTTCACAAATCAACCACAGAAATGTGGTTCAACTATTGGGTTGCTGTTTAGAGACGGAGGTTCCCATTTTGGTTTATGAATTTATACCTAATGGAAACCTTTCCCAGTATATCCACGAGCAGAATGAGGAGTTTCCACTTACATGGGAAGTTCGCTTACGAATTGCCAAGGAAATTGCAGGAGCTCTTTCCTATTTACATGCTTCAGCTGCCTTTCCCATTTATCACAGAGACATCAAGTCTACCAACATACTCTTGGATGCAAAATACAGAGCAAAAGTTGCTGACTTTGGAACTTCAAGATCAGTTGCCATTGACCAAACTCACCTTACCACACTTGTACACGGCACATTTGGTTACATGGACCCTGAATATTTTCAATCAAGCCAATTTACGGAGAAAAGTGACGTGTATAGCTTTGGGGTTGTCCTTGTTGAGCTCTTGACGGGACAAAAACCAATTTCTTTTAGAAGGTCACAAGAAGAAGGCAAAAGTCTAGCCGCATACTTCATCATTTCGATGCAGTTAGATCGCCTATTTGAAATTCTTGATGCTCAAGTTGTAAAAGGAGGGTCTAAGGCAGATATCATCACAGTTGCTAACCTTGCAAGGAGGTGTTTGAATTTGAGTGGAAGGAAGCGCCCTACAATGAGAGAGGTCACGGCAGAACTGGAGGGGATTCAAATGTCAGAAAAAACTTCAATTGTTGAACAAAATTATGAAGAAGTTGAATATGTTCGAACTGAATCAATTGAGCCTTGGGATGTCGTTTCAAGCTCAACAGGCACAAAGCCAGGTTTGGATGGTGGTCCTGCTTCATCATCACATGAAGTTCCACTATTACCTTTCATGTCACGCTGAACAATAATTAAATATTTCTTAACTGTAATATTCTAATGCTTGTTCTATTCCATATATGTTATGTTTTTCTCCTTCCTTAACTTTTCTGATCAGAATGTGATTGCAGTTTCAACCAAGAAGATCATAGTGTCTGATTAGCAAAACTAACTGAACGGTTTCCATTTAAACACAAATCACTCAATATTAATTATGATTAGATCAACAGAGTGTTTTGAATATTTTGGCTGGATCAAGAGAAATCGGTTTGGAGAGTATAATCACCACTAATTAATTAATTATTTGCCGTTTAAGTCACACTCGAAAAATATTTCTTGTATTAAACTATACTTTAGATGGCGTTAGAAGATTTTAGACTATCGCCTTATGGAACCTGTCTTGGGGCTTCGCTTGTGTTGGTTATACAGTAAAAATACAATGACCTCACAACTCAACAAATGGTGATTCGTGTTGCTATGGCCACAATATAATTAACTCAGCATGCACTGCATGAGCGACTCAAAAACAAAAAAAGCATATGGTTAAACACATAGCTAGACAACTATAATGGGACTCACTCACAGCAACCATATATCATCATCTATTGATTTCTCGTAATCAGTCCTAAAGTGAGGCCGTTCTTTTGATAAATTATGTAATGAGAAGGGGATCAAAAGATGCTAAAAGGAAAACTCGGGATAGTGTTAGCGTGAGGTACAGAGTTGAGCAACTCCAAAATAAGTTGGCAGTAACAGCTCACAAGGGAGGTTATTCGCTAGTATAGATTCTCTATGCACCCTCTGGAAAAAGGAGGGAAAACTAGGGGATCCCCAAGAAATGAGAGATTATTTATAGTTGGAGTAATGCTAGAAGATCACATTTTCTAATCACATAGATGGTCAAGCATGCATCAACTATCACATTATCCAACTAGCAGCTAAGTGCGAACTATCCGAGAGAAATAGAGAATGATGTGTCTCGTCTAGCATCAATGGACTAAGTTGCAACTATGCTCATTGTCAGCCTCATAACTGAAACAGATCGCACTGAAAACAGGACGCGTAAATTAATTGCTTGAAAGCTAAGTACACCAACATTTCTAACATATAATGAAGGTTTGTTCCTTTTCTTCGATGGACAGGGGGGGGTCTTCATTATACAGTACTAGCACTAAGTTGCAAAGAAAACTTTTGTTTTAAAATCTATGCTTAATTACATTAATACTCCCTGAAACTTCAGTCAAATTTCATTTAACCCCCCTCCCCCCCGGGCCAAAACTCAAAATGACTCATTTTCATCTCTTGACCAATGTTTGGTGACCCACTTTACCCCCTGCCGTCATCTCCATTCAAAAGTCTATTTAACTTTGATGACGTGGCAAGTGGAGCCCACCTCCACATAGATAGAGATACAATTACATATTCTAATAATTTAAAATTAAAAAGAACTACCATTACAAAATTTACTTGGCCACCTTCTCCAACCCAACCTACGGAGACCCACCCCAACATACCCTCCCAGCGCCGACCCAGCTAATAGAAACAGAGCATTAAACCCTAAACTAATTGGTCATGTGCGAAGGAGGCCTTACATCTCTTAAACTTTTAAGCTAACTTTTCATCCATCCTTCCGTGTGAGATACTCTACAAGTTGGTCAATAGACAAAGCAAAGAAATATACAAGAGTTAGTAAATGATTTATAAAAAGTATGAATATTTGTCATTTTGTGGGGTCCATTTTAGGTGTAATAAAGCTCCCAAACACATTGCAAAGAAAGTTCACCTCAAACTTCTTGCTCCAGTGTGTTTGTTTTTTCTTCTGAAGAAGAAATGGTAAACCTGAATAATTTGTCGTAGTTAGTGGACTTGACTTGTAACAGTACTACTCATAGGTCAATGATATGGCATTAATATATTTCTGCCTAGCAGCTGCAGAAGTTGCCAGGAGGTAATATTAACTATCTCTGCACCTTCCTTATTTTCTTTTAGTATTATCCGAGAGAAAGCTTAGGCTCAAGAATGAGCGTTTTGCTTTGCTAGCTAAGTTCTAATTCCAAGCTTCCTACTAGGCAGGCAGATAGGTAATTAAAGAGAAGGAAGAAGAAACATAATGGTTGGCCAGTTGCTACTTCATATCACTCTGTTCTTGTGGTCTATGAGTAATGCACTACTAGCAGTAGCATCAGAAGCATCCTTGGCAAAACCAAATTGTTCGGTGCAATGCGGAGGAATTACATTTAACATTTCCCTTCAAATCATGAACTGCACTCGAAGTGATTTTGAGCCGTACAATTTTGAGTGATGTTCTTGCAAAGAATTGATTCCCTTCATGGCCTATCGACAGGGCCTTGCTGAGCTCTACGTAATCATTGACTTGATTTCGCAACATTTTTATGTACTTGAAAACGACAAAATAAGAAGAAAAAAAATATTAAAGAATACTTTTCATTTTTAATTTCTTTATGGCCACAATAATTTACTGAGTATGTACTGCGTTTCCCTTTGTGAGTGACTCTAAGTCAAGTCAACTTTTTTTTTTTTTTGGGTTTTTGGGTGGCTAGCTAGGAAGAGAAGGAAACACTTGATCATATACAATTACAGAAAGAAAAGTAGCCTTCAATTCGAACCCACTTTTCTTGGATCGACAAGGGGTCATTATTATATATAGTACAAGTACTATATTTTAGAATAAACTCTTTTGTATATTGCCATCAACAGTTTATTTTATTTTATTTTATTTTATGGGCACAAGACACAAACTTGGTTTGCAATTTGTGATCATTTATCATTTTACTGAGTTATATATTACAGGTCTTGGTGCGGGTCTTGGACTGTTATTATTGCTTATCGGTGCATGGTTGGGATACAGATTCCTAAAGAAACGCTATACCATTAAACGCAGGGAGATGTTCTTCAAGCGAAATGGTGGATTATTATTAGAGAAACAATTGTCGTCAGGTGAAGTTAATGTTGAGAAAATCAAGCTATTCAAATCAAAGGAGTTGGAGACGTCCACTGACAATTTCAATATTGATAGAATTCTTGGCCAGGGAAGCCAAGGTACTGTTTATAAAGGCATGCTGACTGATGGAAGAATTGTTGCTGTGAAAAAATCTAAAATAGTGGATGAAAGCCAACTTTCAGATTTCATCAATGAGGTTGTCATTCTTTCACAAATCAACCACAGAAATGTCGTTCAACTATTGGGTTGTTGTTTAGAGACGGAGGTTCCCATTTTGGTTTATGAATTTATACCTAATGGAAACCTTTCCCAGTATATCCACGAGCAGAATGAGGAGTTTCCACTTACATGGGAAGTTCGCTTACGAATTGCCAAGGAAATTGCAGGAGCTCTTTCCTATTTACATGCTTCAGCTGCCTTTCCCATTTATCACAGAGACATCAAGTCTACCAACATACTCTTGGATGCAAAATACAGAGCAAAAGTTGCTGACTTTGGAACTTCAAGATCAGTTGCCATTGACCAAACTCACCTTACCACACTTGTACACGGCACATTTGGTTACATGGACCCTGAATATTTTCAATCAAGCCAATTTACGGAGAAAAGTGACGTGTATAGCTTTGGGGTTGTCCTTGTTGAGCTCTTGACGGGACAAAAACCAATTTCTTTTAGAAGGTCACAAGAAGAAGGCAAAAGTCTAGCCGCATACTTCATCATTTCGATGCAGTTAGATCGCCTATTTGAAATTCTTGATGCTCAAGTTGTAAAAGGAGGGTCTAAGGCAGATATCATCACAGTTGCTAACCTTGCAAGGAGGTGTTTGAATTTGAGTGGAAGGAAGCGCCCTACAATGAGAGAGGTCACGGCAGAACTGGAGGGGATTCAAATGTCAGAAAAAACTTCAATTGTTGAACAAAATTATGAAGAAGTTGAATATGTTCGAACTGAATCAATTGAGCCTTGGGATGTCGTTTCAAGCTCAACAGGCACAAAGCCAGGTTTGGATGGTGGTCCTGCTTCATCATCACATGAAGTTCCACTATTACCTTTCATGTCACGCTGAACAATAATTAAATATTTCTTAACTGTAATATTCTAATGCTTGTTCTATTCCATATATGTTATGTTTTTCTCCTTCCTTAACTTTTCTGATCAGAATGTGATTGCAGTTTCAACCAAGAAGATCATAGTGTCTGATTAGCAAAACTAACTGAACGGTTTCCATTTAAACACAAATCACTCAATATTAATTATGATTAGATCAACAGAGTGTTTTGAATATTTTGGCTGGATCAAGAGAAATCGGTTTGGAGAGTATAATCACCACTAATTAATTAATTATTTGCCGTTTAAGTCACACTCGAAAAATATTTCTTGTATTAAACTATACTTTAGATGGCGTTAGAAGATTTTAGACTATCGCCTTATGGAACCTGTCTTGGGGCTTCGCTTGTGTTGGTTATACAGTAAAAATACAATGACCTCACAACTCAACAAATGGTGATTCGTGTTGCTATGGCCACAATATAATTAACTCAGCATGCACTGCATGAGCGACTCAAAAACAAAAAAAGCATATGGTTAAACACATAGCTAGACAACTATAATGGGACTCACTCACAGCAACCATATATCATCATCTATTGATTTCTCGTAATCAGTCCTAAAGTGAGGCCGTTCTTTTGATAAATTATGTAATGAGAAGGGGATCAAAAGATGCTAAAAGGAAAACTCGGGATAGTGTTAGCGTGAGGTACAGAGTTGAGCAACTCCAAAATAAGTTGGCAGTAACAGCTCACAAGGGAGGTTATTCGCTAGTATAGATTCTCTATGCACCCTCTGGAAAAAGGAGGGAAAACTAGGGGATCCCCAAGAAATGAGAGATTATTTATAGTTGGAGTAACGCTAGAAGATCACATTTTCTAATCACATTATGCGCCAATTAACAGATGGTCAAGCATGCATCAACTATCACATTATCCAACTAGCAGCTAAGTGCGAACTATCCGAGAGAAATAGAGAATGATGTGTCTCGTCTAGCATCAATGGACTAAGTTGCAACTATGCTCATTGTCAGCCTCATAACTGAAACAGATCGCACTGAAAACAGGACGCGTAAATTAATTGCTTGAAAGCTAAGTACACCAACATTTCTAACATATAATGAAGGTTTGTTCCTTTTCTTCGATGGACAGGGGGGGGTCTTCATTATACAGTACTAGCACTAAGTTGCAAAGAAAACTTTTGTTTTAAAATCTATGCTTAATTACATTAATACTCCCTGAAACTTCAGTCAAATTTCATTTAACCCCCCTCCCCCCCGGGCCAAAACTCAAAATGACTCATTTTCATCTCTTGACCAATGTTTGGTGACCCACTTTACCCCCTGCCGTCATCTCCATTCAAAAGTCTATTTAACTTTGATGACGTGGCAAGTGGAGCCCACCTCCACATAGATAGAGATACAATTACATATTCTAATAATTTAAAATTAAAAAGAACTACCATTACAAAATTTACTTGGCCACCTTCTCCAACCCAACCTACGGAGACCCACCCCAACATACCCTCCCAGCGCCGACCCAGCTAATAGAAACAGAGCATTAAACCCTAAACTAATTGGTCATGTGCGAAGGAGGCCTTACATCTCTTAAACTTTTAAGCTAACTTTTCATCCATCCTTCCGTGTGAGATACTCTACAAGTTGGTCAATAGACAAAGCAAAGAAATATACAAGAGTTAGTAAATGATTTATAAAAAGTATGAATATTTGTCATTTTGTGGGGTCCATTTTAGGTGTAATAAAGCTCCCAAACACATTGCAAAGAAAGTTCACCTCAAACTTCTTGCTCCAGTGTGTTTGTTTTTTCTTCTGAAGAAGAAATGGTAAACCTGAATAATTTGTCGTAGTTAGTGGACTTGACTTGTAACAGTACTACTCATAGGTCAATGATATGGCATTAATATATTTCTGCCTAGCAGCTGCAGAAGTTGCCAGGAGGTAATATTAACTATCTCTGCACCTTCCTTATTTTCTTTTAGTATTATCCGAGAGAAAGCTTAGGCTCAAGAATGAGCGTTTTGCTTTGCTAGCTAAGTTCTAATTCCAAGCTTCCTACTAGGCAGGCAGATAGGTAATTAAAGAGAAGGAAGAAGAAACATAATGGTTGGCCAGTTGCTACTTCATATCACTCTGTTCTTGTGGTCTATGAGTAATGCACTACTAGCAGTAGCATCAGAAGCATCCTTGGCAAAACCAAATTGTTCGGTGCAATGCGGAGGAATTACATTTAACATTTCCCTTCAAATCATGAACTGCACTCGAAGTGATTTTGAGCCGTACAATTTTGAGTGATGTTCTTGCAAAGAATTGATTCCCTTCATGGCCTATCGACAGGGCCTTGCTGAGCTCTACGTAATCATTGACTTGATTTCGCAACATTTTTATGTACTTGAAAACGACAAAATAAGAAGAAAAAAAATATTAAAGAATACTTTTCATTTTTAATTTCTTTATGGCCACAATAATTTACTGAGTATGTACTGCGTTTCCCTTTGTGAGTGACTCTAAGTCAAGTCAACTTTTTTTTTTTTTTGGGTTTTTGGGTGGCTAGCTAGGAAGAGAAGGAAACACTTGATCATATACAATTACAGAAAGAAAAGTAGCCTTCAATTCGAACCCACTTTTCTTGGATCGACAAGGGGTCATTATTATATATAGTACAAGTACTATATTTTAGAATAAACTCTTTTGTATATTGCCATCAACAGTTTATTTTATTTTATTTTATTTTATGGGCACAAGACACAAACTTGGTTTGCAATTTGTGATCATTTATCATTTTACTGAGTTATATATTACAGGTCTTGGTGCGGGTCTTGGACTGTTATTATTGCTTATCGGTGCATGGTTGGGATACAGATTCCTAAAGAAACGCTATACCATTTTTTTTTCAAAGGAAATGGTGGATTATTGTTAGAACAACAATTATCTTCAGGTGAAGTTAATGTAGAGAAAATTAAGTTGTTCAAGTCAAAGGAGTTAGAGAAGTCCACTGACAATTTCAATACTGATAGAATTCTTGGCCAGGGAGGCCAAGGTACTGTTTACAAAGGCATGCTGACTGATGGAAGAATTGTTGCTGTGAAAAAATCTAAAATAGTGGACGAAAGCCAACTTTCAGATTTCATCAATGAGGTTGTCATTCTTTCACAAATCAACCACAGAAATGTCGTTCAACTATTGGGTTGTTGTTTGGAGACGGAGGTTCCCATTTCGGTTTATGAATTTATACCAAACGGAAACCTTTCCCAGTATATCCATGAGCAGAATGAAGAGTTCCCACTTACATGGGAAGTTGGCTTACGAATTGCCATGGAAATTGCAGGATAATCTTTCACCGTGATTTTCATTTGCTTTCTTGTCTCTACATTGCAGATATTGATGAATGCACAGATGAAAACAGATGTGGGCCTGGGGCCCCTCATTGTATGAACTATTATGGGACGTATACATGCTACAGACACAGAGTCGGTTGAAAGACAAAGATCAAACTGATTCTTATAGGTATGTTTCAGTCTTGCAATCACTTATGAAAGATGACAATGCCATGCCAATAATGCAGAAGGCAAAGAATATGCAGGCCACATGATAATGTTGTGTAAGTTTTACTAACGCAAATACCAACATGAATTGGACCCGAAAAAGTTAATCAAACCCATTTTTAAAAACAGATTGTGCAACTAGAAATCCGTGATTTGAGCAGAATGAGGAGTTTCCACTGACATGGGAAGTTCGGTTACGAGTGCCAAGGAAATTGCAGGAGCTCTTTCCTATTTACATGCTTCAGCTGCCTTTCCCATTTATCACAGAGACATCAAGTCTACCAACATACTCTTGGATGCAAAATACAGAGCAAAAGTTGCTGACTTTGGAACTTCAAGATCAGTTGCCATTGACCAAACTCACCTTACAACACTTGTACACGGCACATTTGGTTACTTGGACCCTGAATATTTACAATCAAAGCCAATTTACGGAGAAAAGTGACGTGTATAGCTTTGGAGTTGCCCTTGTTGAGCTCTTGACAGGACAAAAACCAATTTCTTTTAGAAGGTCACAAGAATAAGGCAAAAGTCTTGCGACATACTTCATCATTTCGATGCAGTTAAATCGCCTGTTTGAAATTCTAGTTGAAGTTGTAAAAGGAGGGTCTAAAGCAGATATCATCATAGTTGCTAACCTTGCAAGGAGGTGTTTGAATTTGAGTGGAAGGAAGAGCCCTACAATGAGAGAGGTCACGGCAGAGCTGGAGGGGATTCAAATGTCAGAAAAAACTTCAAATATTGAACAAAATTATGAAGAAGTTGAATACGTTCGAACTGAATCAATTGAGCCTTGGGATGTCGTTTCAAGCTCAACAGGCACAAAGCCAGGTTTGGATGGTGGTCCGGCTTCATCATCACATGAAGTTCAACTATTATCTTTCCGGTCACGCTGAACAATGATTAAATATTTCTTAACTGTAATATTCTAATGCTTGTTCCATTCCATATATGTTATGTTTTTCTCCTCCTTGAACTTTTCCGGTCAGAATGTGACTGCAGTTTCAACCAAGAAGATCATAGTGGCTAATTAGCAAAACTGACTGAATGGTTTCCATTTAGACACAAATCACTCGATATTAATTATGATTAGATCAACAGAGTATTTTGAAAGTGTTAGATTTCGAATATTTAGCTGGATTAAGAGAAATTGGTTTGGAGAGTATAGTCAATCATCATTAATTAATTAATTATTTGCCGTTTAAGTCATACTCAAACAAAATTTCTTGTGTTAAACTATACTTTAAACGGTGTTAAAAGATTTTAGACTATCGCCTTATGGAACTTGTCTTGGGGCTTCGCTTGTGTTGGTTATACAGTAAAAATAAAATGAAGCTCAAACTCTGTTTCTTCAAGTGGGTTAAGGAGCATCAAAGAAAAACTCTGTTTCGCTTGTTCTGCATAATGTAGCAAAATTTTCATGCATGATCTTTCAACACCATTTCTGTTCTTATAATAGAGCTGTATATGTAAACGTAATCATTGATTTGAGAAGGAAAAACTTTCACAACGTTTTTATGTACTTCAAAACGACAGAAGAAAAATTACTTTTCAATTTTAATTTATTTTTGGACAATGACCTCTCAACTCATCAAATGGTGATTCGTCTTGTTATGGCCACAATAATTAACTGAGCATGCACTGCATGAGTGACTCAAATCAAGTAGCTAGTCAACTTTATTTTTATTTTTATTTTTTTTAAAAAAAAAATTTGTGGGTAGCTAGAAATAATGAGAAGGAAACACTTGGAATTTCAACTACCAGTCATATACAATTTCCATTCCAACCCACCACTAGTGTTTGTTTGTTCCTTTTCTTCGATGGACAAGGGGGTCTTCATTGTACAGTACAAGCACTAAGTTGCAAAGAAAACTTTTGCTTGATAATCTTTTACTTTTTGAATTCCATCATTAAGTCGACTATGATCATAAACTAAAGCAGTTTAGATGGCAGTCACGTATGGAGACTTTTCACACGAATTCAACCACATATGGATATTGTTCGCCTATTTTCCTGAAAGGACATACTCCTCTGCAAATTACGGTTTGACATATATATTTCAGTAACTTTTTATTGAGAGATCCCTTAAATAATTTTATTTAAGGAACACCCTTTAAGGTCTCCTACAAAAAAAAAAAATTCCCCGATCCAAACTATCTATTTTTGAAGTTTACATTCATAAATCATCCTTGCAAAAAATTAGACAATTCGGAAACCATTTCGATATCCAATTGTGTCCTACAAAATCAATTAACACGGTGCTTCAAGAAAGTACTAAAATTTCAATAATTCAATTGAGTGGTCAAATGATATCGGATTCAAATGATTTTTTTTTTTTTTTGTAGATATAATATTTGAATGAATATCTACAAAATAGACTGTTTGGATTAGTGAAATAAAATACGGAGTGGGCCCTATAAGAGTGTCTCTCAAATTAACCTATTTGAGGGATCTCTCAATCGAAGCTCTCTCTATAAATATATGGAAGAGAATTATTCTTTTCTTTAAATTATAAGATAATATAAAGGAGAAATCGGATCCTTGATTTGGGGGAGATATTCCACTATCTACATTTCACCTTGTGACTGGATGCCAAACTTTATGTTCCCACATGGTCTAAAGTATCATCACAGTTGCTAACCTTGAAAGGAGGTGTTCGAATTTGAGTGGAATGAAGCGTCCTACAATGAGAGAGGTCACCTAGAGAGCTGGAGGGGATTCAAATGTTAGAAAAAACTTCAAATGAAGTTCCACTATTACCTTTCATGTCACGCTGAACAATATTACCTTCCTTTCAACAGTGAAAATAAAACCAAATATTATTGTTTAGTTAATTAAAACTCTGTTTCTTCAAGTGGGTTAAGGATTGCATGATTTTTTCAAAATATTATTGTTTAGTTTGCTGAGCTCTATGTAATTTTAATTAACTTTAGTTTGTAAAGTTATTGATTTTTTCAAAGTGTGAATTTGCATTGCATTTTTCTTTTAGTTTGTAACTTTAATTAACATTGAATTGGATTTTTCCTTTTAGTTGTAACTTTAATTCATTTTGCTTTGCATTTTCCTTATGGTTTGTAATTTAAAGGATTTGGAATTGGAATGCTTGAGAAGTTTAACTTTAATTGGAATACTTGGAATTGTAACTTTAATTTTCTTTAGGTTGTGAATGCTTGAGAAGTTGAGGAGATTGTGAATTTATATATGCTTGAGAAGTTGATGTTGTTTATTTATTTATTTAGGTTGTGAATTTATATATTTCTGAATGCTTGAGAACTTGCGGTTACAAACCACTAATTCGCGGTAACCGACCGTATTTTGCCGTTGGTTTGTGGTTTTAAAAATCATCATACCGCAAATAATCGATTGGTTTACGGTTTGGGCAAAAATTCGAGGTTACCAAACCTCAACTACCCCTAATTAATGTTATGTTTGCTGAGCTCTATGTAATCATTGACTTGAGGGCAGCAATATATGGAATCATTGATTTGATTTCACAGCATTTTTATCTACTTGAAAACGACAAAATAAGAAGAAAAAAATTTAAAGAATACTTTTCATTTTTAATTTCTTTATGGCCTCAATAATTTACTATGTATTGCATTTCCTTTTGTGAGTCAAGTCAACATTTTCAAGTCAGTCAACCTTTTTTTTTTTTTTGGTGTGTGGATAGCTAGGAAGAGGAGGAAACGCTTGAATATTCTCAACTACGAATCATATACAATTTCCACTCACCTTACAAAAAGAAAAGTAGCCTTCAATTCGAACCCACTTTTCTTGGATCGACAAGGGGTCTTTATTATATACAGTACAAGCACTAAGTTGCAAAGAAAACTTTTGCTTGATAATCTTTTACTTTTTATTATCCGAGCTTAGGAGCAATGCAATCGCAAGCAGTTCATATGATGATCTTATTCTTATTGCTTCTGTCGGTAAATATATATACAGCACAAGTAGTTCCTCGGATGGCAAAGTATGGTTGCCAAGAGTATTGTGGAGACGTCCTCATCCCATACCCTTTTGGAATTGGATCTAACAAACATTGCTACTTAGACGACTGGTTTGAAATGGACTGCAGCAACCAGTCTTCTAAAACTACCAGCTCTGCTCCTCATTACAAGCTTGTTTTGAAGCGAGCCCAACTGGAGGTGCTGAATATTTCTATTAGAGGCACGCTTCGGGTGAACAGCCCCGTTACCAAATTCTGCAACGGAAATGGAAGTAGCCAAATGGCCGATTTGACCGGCAGCCCTTTCGTCTACTCTCAGGATAAAAACAGATTCACTGCAGTTAGCTGCGGCTTCCTTGCCGGGATGGTATCAGCAGAGTTTGTGGTTGGTGGCTGCCGGTCAGTTTGTGATCATAAAAAGTCTGCTTCCTGTGATATTGGTATCAACTGTTGCCAGACTACCATTCCTCCATATCTCACTATGATAGGCGCTTCCATTCTATACCAAGGCGAAACTCGAGACTCCAGCTGCGACGACTATGCGTTTCTGGTTGACAAGGATTGGTTTGAGAGATCGTCTTCTGCTCATGCAATCAAGAGTAGAAGGCACGTTCCTGTGGTGCTAGAATGGAATATAATCAACTATACTTCTTCACTAGCAATATTTGGAAGCTACGTTACAAACTATTCTTTTGATCCATATTATTATTATAATTTCAATTATCAAGGTACACCATACTGCCTTGGCTCCACTGCTTTGGATTACAACAATCGCTCAACGCTTTCTTGTTACTGCCCAGATGGCTTTGAAGGAAATCCCTATCTTCTTGAAACTTGTCAAGGTACGTAAGTAATTAATTATATCTAGCTTCCGTCTCTGCGTTTTATTTTTCTTTTCGTTTGTTTTGTTTGTTTTCTTAATCTTTTGGAATGAAGGGAGTGGAAAGAACTCCCTTTTGAGGTATTATTGGATTTGCAAAGTGGTCAATAGATGTTGTATTGCTAATTTACCGTTTCTGTTTTTTTTTTCTTTTCTAAATTACATTTCAGATATTGATGAATGCATGATTGGTCATAATCGATGCGGGCCCCACAGCAAGTGTGTGAACGCTCCTGGTTATTACGTTTGCGTTGACAAAAAGAAAACTAAATTGATCCTTATTATAGGTACGCCATATATCATCGTACATAGTATACGATTTTGGAATTAAACATAGTTGATTTCTCTTTTAAAAGAAAAGAAAAAAGAACTGCGTGTTACCATTTAAATTTTTTATTTTTATCACTTAATTAGTGTGTGGATGATGTATCATTTAATGTGAAATATATGGTCAAACATATGGTCACCAACCGGTAACAACCTAAACTCAGAGTTAGTTGCAGCAAAGGCTTGCACTTTTGGGATTAGCCCAATTGGTTTGGGAAAATTCTAGTTACAAATTACAATCCAAACTGCACTTATTTCATAAGAATAATATGTTCAAGCCCAATTGGTGGAGTTAGATGATAAGTTCCCTACTACGTACAATTATATTAAACATAAACTCTGCCTAAGTGTCATCAACAGTTTATTTTATGGGCACAAGACATAAACTTGGTTTGCAATTTGTGATCGTTTATCATTTTACTGAGTTATATATTGCAGGTCTTGGTGCTGGTCTTGGACTGTTACTTTTGCTTATCAGCGCATGGTTGGGATACAGATTCCTAAAGAAACGCCATACCATGAAACGCAGGGAGATGTTCTTCAAGCGAAATGGTGGATTATTATTAGAGAAACAATTGTCGTCAGGTGAAGTTAATGTTGAGAAAATCAAGCTATTCAAATCGAAGGAGTTGGAGAAGTCCACTGACAATTTCAATACTGATAGAATTCTTGGCCAGGGAGGCCAAGGTACTGTTTATAAAGGCATGCTGACTGATGGAAGAATTGTTGCTGTGAAAAAATCTAAAATAGTGGACGAAAGCCAACTTTCAGATTTCATCAATGAGGTTGTCATTCTTTCACAAATCAACCACAGAAATGTCGTTCAACTATTGGGTTGCTGTTTAGAGACGGAGGTTCCCATTTTGGTTTATGAATTTATACCTAACGGAAACCTTTCCCAGTATATCCATGAGCAGAATGAGGAGTTCCCACTTACATGGGAAGTTCGCTTACGAATTGCCATAGAAATTGCAGGAGCTCTTTCCTACAATGCAGCTTCCTTTCCCATTTATCACAGAGACATCAAGTCTGCCAACGTACTTTTGGACGAAAAATACAGAGCAAAAATTGCTGATTTTGGAACTTCAAGATCAATTTCCATTGACCAAACTCATCTAACCACATGTGTACATGGAACATTTGGTTACTTGGACCCAGAGTACTTTCAATCAAGCCAATTTACGGAGAAAAGTGACGTGTATAGCTTTGGAGTTGTCCTTGTTGAGCTCTTGACAGGGCAAAAACCAATTTCTTTTAGAAGGTCACAAGAAGAAGGCAAAAGTCTTGCCACATACTTCATTACTTCGATGCAGTTAGATCGCCTGTTTGAAATTCTTGATGCTCAAGTTGTAAAAGGAGGGTCTAAAGCAGATATCATATTAGTTGCTGACCTTGCAAGAAGATGTTTGAATTTGAGTGGAAGAAAGCGCCCTACAATGAGAGAAGTCACAGCAGAGTTAGAGGGGATTCAAATGTCAGAAAAAACTTCTAATGGTGGAGAAAACTATGAAGAGGTTGAATATGTTAGGACTGACTCAATTGAGCCTTGGGATGTTGCTTCAAGTTCAACGGGAACAGGGCCAGGTTTGGATGGTGGTCCTTCTTCATCGTTACATGAAATTCCGCTATTACCTTACAAGTCATGGTGAACATTAATAGTAATATTGTAATGCATGTTCCATATATGTTATGTGTTGCTCCTTTTCTGAACTTTTCCGGTCAGAATGTGAGTGCAGTTTTAACTTCCAATCCAGAAGGTCATAGGTGAGGTCTGGCTGATTAGCTACACTGCCTGATGACTATTTCAACACAAATCACTGGATACATAAAATTCATTTTGACTAGAGCAACAGGGTATTTGAAAGTGTTAGACTTTGAAATTTTTAGTTGGATCAAGAGAAATTGGTTTGGAGAGTATTAGGTCCTTGATAGTGGCAGAGTCAACCACCCTCAATTAATTACAACATATTGCAAATTTTAAGTCAATTTAAATACTGTAACTTTGAAAGAGAATAATGTAACAAAATATTAGGCAAATATTTCACACATGGGAAGTTCGCTTACGAATTGCCAGGGAAATTGCAGGAGCTCTTTCTTATTTACATGCATCAGCTTCCCCTCCAATTTATCACAGAGACATCAAGTCTACCAACATACTCTTAGATGCAAAATACAGAGCAAAAGTTGCTGATTTTGGAACTTCAAGATCAGTTGCCATCGATCAAACTCACCTAACCACACTTGTACATGGCACATTTGGTTACTTGGATCCAGAATATTTCCAATCAAGCCAATTTACGGATAAAAGTGATGTGTATAGCTTTGGAGTGGTCCTTGTTGAGCTTCTGACTGGAAAAAAACCAATTTCTTTTAAAGGTCACAAGAGGAGGGCAAAAGTCTTGCCACGTACTTCATTACTTCGATGCAGTTAGATCGCCTGTTTGAAATTCTTGATGCTCAAGTTGTGAAAGGAGGGTCTAAAGCAGATATCATAGCAGTTGCTAACCTTGCAAGGAGGTGTTTGAATTTGAGTGGAAGAAAGAGCCCTACAATGAGAGAGGTCACCGCGGAGCTGGAGTGGATTCAAATCTCAGAAGAAAAAAAACATCAAATGGAGAACAAAATTATGAAGACGTTGAATATGTTGAAACCGAATTAGTTGAGCCTTGGGATATTGTTTCAAGCTCAACAGGAACAGTGCGAGGTTTGGATGGTGGTCCTTCTTCATCATTACATGAAATTTCGCTCTTACCTTTGAAGTCATGGTGAACAATAATTAAATATTTCTTAATTGTAATATTGTAATGCGTGTTCCATAAATGTTCTGTTTTGCTTCTTTTCTGAACTTTTCCGATCAGAATGTGAGTGCAGTTTCAACTTCCAATCCAGAAGGTCATAGGTGAAAGAGAGGAAAGAGAGGAATGCATGATAATATGATTATGCAAAAGCATTTTTAATCTACACAAGATAACAGAAATCCCCATGCCCTACACAAACGATTAGTAGAATTGATTACGGTCAAGTCTGGCTGCTTAGGTTTACTTTTTCCACACAGCTCGATCATAACATAAATTCTAGCCAACAATTGATTCCCTTCATGGCCTATCGACAGGGCCTTGTAGTTTGGACAGTTGGAAGAGCTTATGCATCTTTAGCTTTTAATACTATCATCTTTGCAGACATTCTTCTAATTGGTTATTATAATTTTTCAAAACCATGAAGAACTTCTAATGGTGAACAAAACAATGAAGAGGTTGACTATATGTTAGAACAAAACCATGAAGAGGTTTCAAGTTCAACGGGAACAGAACCAATTTTGTCTTCATCATTGCATGAAATTCCACTTTTATCTTTCACGTCATGGTGAATTTGTGAACAAAATATTTCTTAATTGTAATGCATGGTCCATGTACGTTCTTTTAGGTTTTCTCTCAATAATAATACAAACAGCCCATGAATGTTGAGTTGGATAATAATCAATTGGCATTGCAAACTCCACAGTCCCTTCTGAGTAAGAAGGCAAGTTGTATATGGTGGATTCTTCTTAGCAAACAACAACTTGGAAACAGAGGAAGAAACAGAGAAGAAACAGAGGAGGAAACAAAGGGAATGCAATATGATTCCGGCCCAAGCATTTTCTGTTGGTAATTTTATCCACACAAGATAACAGATCCCCATGGCCTACATAAACGATTTAAGGATGCATACAATAGTAAAATGATCATAAAAAGTTGTGGTCTGAACATAAAAACCAATATTATTCCTTTCCATTTCTATTTCGAAGACTCCCAAACACATTTTGGAAAATAACCCGAACTTCTTTCTCGAAGGGATGCTGATGGTGATGGTTACGATATGGCTTAGTCAATACTCCAACTTCCACGGTGAAATATGAAAACGTCATCTTTAATGTTGTAGACAATTACATGATCTTTAGTTCCTAATCAAAGGAAAGTACCTTCAATTTGTTTCCATCGTGAAGACTAAGTTGCAAAGAATTTTTTTGTCTGAGAATCTTTTACATTTCAATTTCGTCATTTTCTCTTCATCACATATGTTGAGTTGGTCATCTTGGCAAACAACAACGTGGAAACAGAGAAGAAAGAGAGGAAGAAAAACTCTGTTTCTTCAAGTTGGGTTAAGGGTTTAGGAAGAAAAACTCTGTTTCTTCAAGTAGCAAATAAACTTTTTGTCTGAGAATCTTTTACTTTTCCATTTCATCATTTCTTTATCATTACATACGTAGAGTAAGAAAGCAAGCTACATATGTATTCTTCTTACCAAACGATAACTTGGAAGAAACAGAGGAGGAAACAGAGGAATGCATGACAAGATGCAATATGATTTGCTAGTTCATCTGGTACCATTCGTTCTGCTGTTATGGACCTCAAGTACTACAACAGCAGCATCGGGAGCTGAAACACCAATGGCAAAGCATAATTTCGCAACACATTGCGGAGATATTAGCATCCCATACCCTTTCGGCATTGGACCTAATTAAGATTGTTACTTTGACGAATGGTTCAAAATGGTGCGCAACCAGTCTTCTAGTAACAGCCCTCACAAGCTTTACTTGAGGCGTGCCCAGTTGGAAGTGCTGAACGTTTATGCTAATGGCACGCTTCGAGTTAACAACCCCATTGCTTTCTTCTGCGGCGAATACAGAGGTCAGCAACCCGCGAATTTGAGTGGAAGCCCTTTTGTATACTCTGGGAGACGCAACAAATTCACAGCAGTGAGTTGTGGCTACCTTGCCTCGGTGAGCTCAGAAAAGTATCTTGTTGGAGGATGCAGGTCAATTTGTGAAGGGACTAGCATAAGCCCTGAAGATTGTGAAATCGGTGTCAACTGTTGCCAGACTAGCATCCCACCGCATCTCAGTGTCATCAGTACTGATACAGAAGATGATAGCAGAGCAAGGGCATGCAAGGATATATATGCATTTTTGGTTGACCAAGACTGGTTTAGGAACAATTTTACGGCATCCAATTTTAGTGTCCTAAAGGATATGGACAGCGTTCCGGTGGTGCTAGATTGGAGCTTAGGCTTGGACAATACTTCAGTCACAGTATTTCACAGATTCACTGGACAATATCCCAGGGCTTATGATGACCCAAAATGCTACTGCGAAAAACTAAATGCCACTTCCACTCCGCCAAGGCTTGCATGTTCCTGTCCTCGGGGTTTTGAGGGAAATCCCTATCTTGGCTACGATTTTCATGGTAAACAAACATCTACCATCACTCAAAAAATTTCAAGCACATGCACAAATTAATTAACAATTTGTCATCTGTTCCACACTTTTGTTTACCACGCACCAAATTATCGCATTTTAGTCAGCTTTGTTGGTTTGTATTTCGTGATAATCTTTCACCATGATTTTCATTTGCTTTCTTGTCTCTACATTGCAGATACTGATGAATGCACAGATCAAAACAGATGTGGGCCTGGGGCCCCCCATTGTATGAACCATAATGGGACGTATACATGCTACGGATACAGAGTGGGTGGAAAGACAAGGATCAAACTGATTCTTATAGGTACGTTTCCGTCTTGCAATTATTTCATATATCAAAGATGACAATGCCATGCCAATAATACAAAAGGCAAACAATATGCAGGCAACAGGATAATGTCGTGTAAGTTTTACTCATGCAAATACCAACACGAATTGGACGCCTGAAAGTTAATCAAACCCAATTTTTAAAAAACAGATTGTGCAACTAGAACCTTAGAACTGAAATCGGCAATAAAAAATACACACTTTGATTTTTGTAGTCGCACATGATTCAAGTTTATATAATCAACCAAGTTATATACAACACCAGTTTACAAAAAAATCCGCTCTTAAACGACCCTTACCGAGTCTAGTTCAACTTGTTAAAAGGACATTTTCAAAATCAAAACAGAGCACAATGAAGTAGTTAAGGCAACTCTGTCACAAAGTAGTCTACAAACTTTTGACATTAGCAATACTTCCTTCCATCATTATTTAGTTTAGTTATGCAGGTCTTGGCGCGGGTGTGGGACTGTTGTTACTGCTGATTGCTGCATGGTGGGTACATGAAGTCCTAAAGAAAAGAAAGAGAATTAAACGCAAGGAATTTTTTTTCAAAGGAAATGGTGGATTATTGTTAGAACAACAATTATCTTCAGGTGAAGTTAATGTAGAGAAAATTAAGTTGTTCAAGTCAAAGGAGTTAGAGAAGTCCACTGACAATTTCAATACTGATAGAATTCTTGGCCAGGGAGGCCAAGGTACTGTTTACAAAGGCATGCTGGCTGATAGTAGAATTGTAGCTGTGAAAAAATCTAAAATAGTGGAGGAAAGCCAACTTTCAGATTTCATCAATGAGGTTGTGATTCTTTCACATTGGGTTGCTGTTTAGAGACAGAGGTTCCCATTTTGGTTTATGAATTTATACCTAATGGAAACCTTTCCCACTATATCCATGAGCAGAATGACGAGTTTCCACTTACATGGGAAGTTCGCTTACGAATTGCCAAGGAAATTGCAGGAGCTCTTTCCTATTTACATGCTTCAGCTGCCTTTCCCATTTATCACAGAGACATCAAGTCTACCAACACACTCTTGGATGCAAAATATAGAGCAAAAGTTGCTGACTTTGGAACTTCAAGATCAGTTGCCATTGACCAAACTCACCTTACAACACTTGTACACGGCACATTTGGTTACTTGGACCCTGAATATTTTCAATCAAAGCCAATTTATGGAGAAAAGTGACGTGTATAGCTTTGGAGTTGTCCTTGTTGAGCTCTTGACAGGACAAAAACCAATTTCTTTTAGAAGGTCACAAGAAGAAGGCAAAAGTCTTGCGACATACTTCATCATTTCGATGCAGTTAAATCGCATGTTTGAAATTCTTGATGTTGAAGTTGTAAAAGGAGGGTCTAAAGCAGATATCATCATAGTTGCTAACCTTGCAAGGAGGAGTTTGAATTTGAGTGGAAGGAAGCGCCCTACAATGAGAGAGGTCACCGCAGAGCTGGAGGGGATTCAAATGTCAGAAAAAACTTCAAATGTTGAACAAAATTATGAAGAAGTTGAATACGTTCAAACTGAATCAATTGAGCCTTGGGATGTTGTTTCAAGCTCAACAGGCACAAAGCCAGGTTTGGATGGTGGTCCGGCTTCATCATCACATGAAGTTCCACAATTACCTTTCTTGTCACGCTGAACAATGATTAAATATTTCTTAACTGTAATATTCTAATGCTTGTTCCATTCCATATATGTTATGTTTTTCTCCTTCCAGAACTTTTCCTGTCAGAATGTGACTGCAATTTCAACCAAGAAGATCATAGTGGCTGATTAGCTAAACTGACTGAATGGTTTCCATTTAAACACAAATCACTCGATATTAATTATGATTAGATCAACAGAGTGTTTTGAAAGTGTTAGATTTCGAATATTTAGCTGGATTAAGAGAAATTGGTCTTGAGAGTATAGTCAATCACCATTAATTAATTAATTATTTGCCGTTTAAGTCACACTCAAAAAATATTTCTTGTTCGATCCCTGCTCTCGTATGGAGTCACCACTTTGGCCAGCACTTTACCCCTTACGGGCCGACCCGGTGTGAGCGGGGATTAGTCTGGGTTGTGGTTAAGGCTTAAAGGTGCCACCCATAGTTGGGGCCCATCCAGGACCACCTCGTGGTTCAAACCAAAAAAAAAAATATTTCTTGTATTAAACTATACTTTAGACGGCGTTAAAAGATTTTAGACTATAGCCTTATGGAACCTGTCTTGGGGCTTTGCTTGTGTTGGTTATATAGTAAAAATAAAATGAAGCTCAAACTCTCACTACAAAAACCATCTCTTACCTTCGCTTGTGTTGGTTATATAACTGAAATTCTTTTTTATTTTTATTTTTAACTGAAATCCAGAATAGAAAAGTGACAGAGAAAGAAGAAGAAAAAAGAGAGAGAGAGAGAGAGAGAGAGAGAGAGAGAGAGAGAGAGAGAGAGAAGAAGGAAAAAATAAATAAAAAGAGAGGGAGAGATGGAAAGTGACGGAAGGAAGAAGAAGATGGGAAAAAGAAAATGAAGGCGTTGGGAGAGATGAGATATGGGGAGAATAAAAATTACAAAAGAAAGAAAAAGAGGGGTTGGTTTGTGCGCATCTTCATATGCACATGCATGCTCTCACATTTTTTATTATAATATATATTATTTAGAGTAACTATTACTAATTACATAGAGGGAAGGGAAAAGAGCCTTCGCTAGTGAGAAAGATTCCATCCACATATTTTTTTATTAAATTACCATTGTAAATATTTTATTATGAGAAAGATTATCCTCTTATATTTTATTACATTATTACTATTCATGTGTCAGCTACAACAAAATTTATTATATTTAAATCATTAAAAACAAATAATGGTGACTAATTTGGTTAAGAGCGTTGACCACCCATAATTGTCACCAAAATAAATTAGTTACTTAAAAAAATGTGACTATTGCTTCCTTTTTTTGTAGTGTCAGTTTCTTCAAGTGGAGAAATTATACAATAGTACGGTACTACCGCGTGACACTGATAGGTGGTAGTACGCACCAATTGCATAATGACATGTGGCGGGATTGTCTTTTAAGAGAGAGAATGTTAACATCCAGATTTAATAGTAACACCGTTAGTAACCAACTTTGTTTTTTGTTTTTTGTTTTTGTTTTAAGAAATAAAATACAAACCCTAAAACATAATTACTTATATCGAAATCTGCACCACCGTTCTGAGAAGAAAGAAGAACCATCGTTTTGAGAAAAAGGAAGAATGGTGCAGCCATAAAACTATGTTGTTATTTTCTGATTTCTGAGAAGAAGGAAGATTGTTTTTGAGAAGAAGGAAGACTGGTGCAGCCATACCGTTCGATTGCTGCAGGTTTTTTATTTTTTGCCGATTGCTTCATGTTTTTTTCTTTCCCGACTTCTGAAGTTGTGTTTTTTTTTTTAAACATTTCAATTTTCTGCATTTTTTTTAAAAAAAATTTCGATTTCTGCAATACCATTACATGTAGTGAATTCCCACAACCGTTCGGAAAAAGATGACGCAAGATCTCATCCTCAGGCTACAAATCCTACCTATGACCAAACTTTCTCTGTCTCTCTCTCCTGTGTGCTCTTCTTTCTTTTTCTTGTTAAATAATTTTTGGCATCTTCTTTAATTCCGATTTGGGGTTTAATACATTTTGGCTTTTCTTTGTCAAATCTGAATCTGACTGCAATTTCTTGTTTAGGTTTCTTCAATTTTTGTCAAATCTGAATCTTACTGCAATTTTTTGTTCTTTTTTTTTTTTTTTTTTTGGCATGATTTGCTTCACTTTTGGGGTTTTGGTTGAGTGAAAGCTGATCATTTTAGTGATTGAACAAATTGACGCACCAGGAGAGCGTCTGACTGAGATGTCTTGCCACATGGGGTGAGCTATTTTTGCCATCAAATTTATCGAATATGGACCGTTGGTAACCCTTCGGGAATGGTATGGCGTCATAGTGAGAAGGGAATGGTTTTTGATACCCTTGAACATGAGGCGTTATGGACAATTGGAACTCACGAATCCCTTCAGCAATTAACGCCTTTATGTCATTTGGGGAAATTGTGCTCGTTGAGCTCTATGCTTTTTCCTCTTTTGTTTGTTGTTCAAGGGTCACTGATTCATTTGTTTTGCCCCTGTCTTGCTCATCTATGACATCTTTTCCTTTCAATCGAGCGGATAGTAACACTATTTTTGTGTCTTTCTCTGCCAACTTCTGCTGCATTTCCCTTTGCAAGTTAAAGGTAATTGGTCCTCAGTATTGGAAGTACTAGTCATCATGACTTGCATGCTTTCCACTCCCTCATGAAGTTTGACCCCTTGGGATGCTATACAATCATTCTTTTGAGTCTGAGATACGGGATCATCATAGAGAGGATTCCATTGTAAATAATCATCCAAGCGAGCTGAGTTTAGATTGGATGACTTGGGAACAATCATCCTCATCATGTCTCGAGATTTAGAACAAGTCAAGGGACCCACATAAGGCCTCGATTGATCTTGAGGTTTCGGGACTGCCTCTTGTGGTATGAGAATTTGATCCCTTAAAGCAACGATTGTCTTCACCCTCTTCCTTTGTGGATGAGGTATGTTCACCACCTTCTTTTTCATGATGGTGGCTTTGCTTTTACCCTTATGAGAATAGGGGTAAACCTCTTGTAATGTGGATTCCACAACATGGGCTCTAGGGCTTGACGGAGGTTCGGCCCCTTGGACCTCAATGTTTTCTTGAGAGTCATCCTTTTGACTTTCTTCGCTAGTTTCGTCGATAGAAGTCATCAAGGCTGAAGCTGTAGGATATAAGTTGACCGGCATTAATCCAATCATGATTTGGACAAATCAGGTAGTATTTGTCCTCTTTGGAGTCGGCACAACCAGGGTGTTTGCGGTGTTCTCGCTTGCTGCCACCATTGAACTTGTCCCAGAGAGCTCGGACAAGATTGCCTCAATAGACTGACTCTTTGCTTCTTTCTTCCTTAAAGCACATGCGGCCCTCTTTCTTGCATTTCAGATAGCATTCTTGGATGGTGTTTTCTTGAATTGGGTTTTAACGACCTTAGGAGTGACCTGAGGTCTGGCCCTCTGAATAGGCTTTGGAATAGCGCACTTGATGAGGCTCTCACGAACAATGAAAGTCTTTTTGAACCCCACTCGTTTGAACCCCACTCGTTGTTACTTGTGGTGCCATCGTATTTGGTTTTGTTAACCTGTGGCAAACACAAATAAATAAAACAAACATTAATTACTTTATGATTGGAGATGAAAAGGTAAATGGGTCCCACTGGGCGTGCCAAAAATTATGTTGCAGAAAAAAAAACTATAAACCTCTAAACATAATTTCACCTCTACTAATCAATTAATGGGGTTTTATTATTTTAGGTTCGACCCATTCGAGACACAAGTCTCTTAATTACAATCCCTCGCTACAAGGGAAAACCCTTTGATTCCATCATAAAGAAACAGAATGTATGTGTTTGGTTTTGCGGCTGCTCCCAAGTTCAACCTCAGGGTGCCTACGTATCCTTTGCAGGAATCAAGCCACTCGTAGTTCAAAGATTCGCAATGAATAGATGACTCATTGCAAAAAAAAGGGAATTTGAATGAATTTGATTGAGGGGTGTTTGAGTGAATTTAGCAGAATAAGCCAGGATTCGATATGGAGTTGTGTTTGAGATGGTTGCATCTAGATTGAATCTCTAGATTGCCTACGTACCCTTTCAAAGGGATCAAACCAACGTAGTTCGGACTTGATTTGTGTAAAAGTAGATATTTAATTTGTGGGGATTTGGTTGCGGTTGCGTCTATTGGGATGCTAGACTGCTTACGTACCCTTGATGGGATCAAACCGGCGTAGTTCCAAAATTTAGAAATTAATGGGTAAGTGTGGCCCAATAATTTAGAATTGGTATCTTTGAGACGATTTGAAGATTTTCATAGGTAGATGACCTATGGGAAAAATTGGAAATTAATGGGTAAGTGTCGCCCAATAATTTAGAATTTGAATTTGAGATATTTGAATTTAATCTCATTGGAATTTTCATGAATAGATGACCCACGAGAAAAAATTAGAAATTAATGGGTAAGTGTGGCCCAATAATTCAGAATTTGTATCTTTAAGATAATTTGAAGATTTTCATAGGTAGATGACCTATGAAAAAAATTGGAAATTAATGGGTAAGTGTGGCCCAATAATTGAGAATTTGTGTTTGAGATATTTGAATTTAATCTCTTTGGAATTTTCATGGGTAAATGACCCATGAGAAAAATTGGAAATCAATGGGTGAGTGTAGCCCACTAATTAAGAATTTGTGTTTGAGAGATTTGAAATTAATCTCAATGAAATTTGCATGAGTAGATGACCCATGAAAAGTTGGATGGTTTTATACCTCTTTTCTTGTTGTCAATGTCCAAGAAGAATAATGAGTAATTTTAATTATCCCATTAATTTTTCCCTATAATTGACAATTGCATTTGGACCCAAATATGGATGTGAGGATGTTTAAAATTGATTCATGAACCATATAATAGTCAGTTTGGGCTTTGATAACTTTAATGGATAATTATTTGAATCACCCATTAAATATTATGGGCCTTTGAAAATCAATGGACAATTATTTTTGACAGTCCCTTATTTTATTTCGGGCCTACGATATTTTGACCGGCCCATTTTTTTGGACATGTGAAGAAGAGAGAAAAGAAGGAAAGAAGAGAGAGAGTTGAAATAAACCCAAAACACAAACTAATGGCTGACGCCACGTTCTATTTTTTTTGGTCTTTTGACTTCTTCTTTTTTTCTTTGAATTTCTTCCCCCTTTCGAAACAAAGTGGCTGACACCACTTCCCTTTTTTTTTAACTCTTCTTCCCTATGTTTTCTTTTCAGTGGAAGCCTCCACCCTTTTCTTTTGTTACTGCCATACATAACACCAAGCCAATTGCTCTCGTCTTTTTTGGCTTTTGGCTTTTGTTTTCTTTGCTTTTGGTTTGCTGCGCAACCAGAAGTTGCCAACAGGAACGTGGCTATCCTTTTTCCCTTTTTTAAGGATCTCCATCCTTTGTTTTGATTGTTTGCAAACAATCCCCAGATGAGGAATTCAAGGATGGGCTGCACAACGTGGCCTCCGTTTTCAAGCTTCGTTTCTCTCCTTTATGTGCACGCAGCTGATTTTTTTATTTGCTGTGAGATTAATCCCCCAATGATTCTGTTTGTGGGTTTTGTACCCAAATTGGATTTGTCATCCAGAGAACTCAGCGAATGAGCTTTGTGCCCAAAGCGGATATATCAGAGAGTATTTGATTGAGGGTTACACACCCATGGTGGATTTTGTATCCAAGATTTGTTTGGGGTGTAAAAACTCAAAATTGTTTTGAGGGTGAAAACCCATATTTGTTTTCAGGGTGAAATACCCAAGCTTTGTTTCTGGGGTGCGAAACCCACTGTTTTGATTTCAGGGTTTATTACCCAAAGATGGATTGAACATCCAGGAAATTTTGATTGAAGGGTTGCCACCCATTATGGATTTATCATCCAATAAAATGATTTAAGGGTTGCCACCCATGATGGATTCATCATCCAAGAGTTTGATTTGAGGGTTGCCACCCGTTTGATTGATTAAAAGGGTTGCCACCCAACATGGAGGACCTCCAGAAAGGAGCCTTGATTGCTTCTGTCACATTTCTTCAGCACTGCCGTGCATCCTCCATGTTCCCCAAGCCTTGTTGGCTTTTTTTTTTTTTGGGTATCTCTTCACAGTCTGCCGCTGTGTTTTTTTTTTCCTCTGCAGCCTCACAGCTGCCTCTCCTCCCCCTCCTCTTTTTTACCTATGTACGTTCATGTCTTTTATAGGCAAAAGATGAACAGCAGTTGGGGAAGCACGTTTGCTAAGTGGGCAATTTCTCTGCTAAATGGAGTTGCCAAAAAATAAACACGATCTCTTCCCACCATTATATGATTATCCTCTTCCTTTATTTATCCCTTCCTTTTTTCTAGGGATAAGAATAGGGACAATCTAATACACACGTTGTTTCCCATTTGTTTTGAAAGCAAGTGTCATGTGGTTGTGGGAATCACCCACCCAACGTTATGGGGGTTATCTAAACCCACAATTTTTTTTTTATAATTTTTTTTTTGGTTCAACAGGTTGTGTTTTAAGTTGTGAGATGGAAGGGGTTTGATTTAGGTTTTTTGTAGCATTCTTCCATTTTCTTGTTGCAATTAATACATGTTGATTTTATTTCTTAATTTCTGGGGTGTAGAAGTTCATTCGATTTGGGTATGTTATTAATGGATAATACTTATTGCTCTGTTCTTTTGCTATTTGTTTTACCTTTCAATTTGAGTATATATTATTGGTGGGGGTGAGAACTTTGGATTTTAATTTTTTGGCATATGTCCTCCCCTGAAGGTACTTGTTGAACTTTGTTTTCACTTTATTTCCTTTCATTACATTTGGATTCCATGGAAGGAGAAGGAATGTTGTGGGAGTTCAAGCTTCTTCAATTCTTCAATTTACAGATTATCAATGATGCTTCGACCAGAGGAAAATGCTATGGCTTTGTTACTTTTAGGAACCCTCGGTCTGCAATTCATGCCATCAATGAGATGGATGGCAGGGTATGTTTTATTTATTTAAGTTTATACTTGAACATTTATGTAGTTATGGTGTCTGTGATCGGTTTGTTTTCTTAAAATCTTGAGTGACATTGTTGAGCTTTGAATTAGACTGTTGATGGAAGAGTTATCAGAGTAAATGAAGTGAGGACTAGAGGTGGAAGATTGGGTTTTGGTAGAGACAGAGAAGGTTTTGGACGCAATGTTGAGAGGGCAGGAACTGGGATAGAGATAGAGATCATGAGAGGGGTTGATCAAGAAAGGGATAGAGAGTATGACCGTGAACGTGATTATGATCAAGTAAGAGATCATTTCTTGGATAGAGACCGTCATCAAGACAGAGATTTGGAAGATGTTGAGCAAGGACAGAGCAGGAACCATGATCAGGGTTGGGAAAGAGATGGATGGTACATCTCTTTGAGCTTGTTTCTACGGGTTCAAGTTTTTCTGGCAGTTTATTGCAAGAATGGAAGACAACTATGATTTGGATTGGAAAAAGTTATTGGTAATTATTCAATAATTTTATAATTTTTTGGCCTTGTACTTTCTTAGTGTTGTGCTACTTCTTCTCATTGGTGAAATTGGTCCACTGTTCAATTTATATGCCTTACAACAATTCTCTACGAGAAATTCCGTAAGAATAAGAGAAAATAATCATTGCTTTGTAATCTCAATGTTTCTTCCAACTAAAAAAAGAAAAGGTGGTAGAAGAAAAACATGATAATATAGTCCATTAACAAATGATGACCATGAAGTACATCGAGTTTGAAATAAAAAAAGTAACAACAGTAACAAACAATGACCATGAAGTACATCAAGTTTGAATCAAAATAAGTAACGATTTCCAAGCGTAAACGATTCTTGCATATGCACCCAAAATTATATAATTCTTGCATCTGCACCCAAAATTATACATCAAGTTTAGTTCAATAAGTAGATAAGTCAAAAGTAACTGAAAATAATTATAATTATTTTAGTCTTAGACAATACCTTAAGGAGACATTAGTTCTATGGATTATGTTATTGCTCATAAGCGTTTGAATGCGAATCCTGCATTATATATAGCTTCATGTCAAATATTTCAAAATAGGCATAAGCTATAGATAAACCATCCTGATTCAATGAATACCTTATTCAAAAGTGCCATGAAATTAGTACTTTGTAGCATGCTTGTAAAGGACAAATTAGGTTGAGGCAAATTTGCATGACCTTCGGTAGGTAACAATCTCATAGTTGGGTAGACCTATATAACAGTGGTAAGATTATACAATTAGTTGAATTTATAGAAGAAGAAAAAAGAGAATTAAAAGTCTTAAAAACATACATGATTACTAATATTTGTACTCATTGGTACATTGACTGGATTAAGAAAATTTGAACTGAGTGGTGTATGAGCTGAGCTATATGGATGACCTATCTTGCTTGATTGCTTGGTTTTCAAAAACAATTTGTAATAATAAGCATTACTGATGAGTATAAATTAATAATAAGAGATCGTAAACAATAAAACAAGACATGGAACTTTCATACTTGATGAAACAGTATCTTTTGATGTCCTTTTTCTTCGTTTCTCCATAGTGCTTTTTAATCTGGCATTGCTTATACCTTTTGGCCTTACACACGGGGGATTCAGTACTGGTGTTTCATCAAATGTGCAACCACTTGCATTACAATCAACAACATTATCAGAAGTTTTTTGATTAACTTCCCCCTTCGCCTTTATCATTTCTTTTTCAATCAATTCTTCCATCTCTCTCAATTTTTTCATAGCAATTCTAGTAGTAGCTTCTGTCTCTGCTGCCTTACTCAATACATCATAAGTTGTTCGCATCAAAGCATTTCGTCGCAATGTGACCGATGATTTACCATTTACCTGTAATAATTCACCATGCTCATTTGCCTCCAATTCTTTTTTGGCATCCTTTGTCCATCGCTTCAATATATATTGCTCTGGTATCTGACTCCAACATTTGACATTTAGTACCCTTAGAGCATGACGACACAATAAACCCATGGACTCAAACATTTTGCAACTACATGAAATAGTGCGATTGAATGAATTTAGTTGGACAAGGTAAACTCTATTGTGACCCTCTTCATTAAGTTCAAATGAGTGAATTGTGCCATCACTTCCAACCTCATGCATCATTACTGCCAAACTATCTACAAACTCATTTTCAAATAATTTAAATATTTTCCTTGTGTAGACAGTAGCAGCATGATTCAAAATTCCACTGCTTTTGGCAATTCTAGAAGGGAGTCCTTGATTGCAACGAAAAGACTCTTCTAATTCACTTGAACACATTTTTTCCGCTTGTTTATCATAGTGATGCACAAATTGAGTAAGACTCATTGTCTTAGTAGACATTTGATGAAAAACATTGTTTGTGCTCTCACTTCTTTGTGAAGATTTTATCCTTGCAGTAAAAATATGCCGGCTAAATACTGGACACCATTTTGCACGAAGATTATATAGTGTCATCAACCATGGGTTGCCTGTAAGGTTGAATTTTGCCAATAAGTCATCCCAGATAGACTGAAATTCCAATTCTGTCTCACAATATCCTTGAAGACACTTATTGAACATATGGTTAAACTCTTGATTACCGTAATGACTTCCCAAATTTCTTGCAGCATTCTGAGATATGTGCCACGAGCATAAACGATGACATACCCCAGGAAAAACGTTTTGAATGCCATTTGCCATTGCCTGACATTGATCAGTAAAAATAGTTTTTGGTTTTTGACCTCCCATTGATTCTAAAAATGTCTCAAATAACCAAATAAATGAATCAGTTTTCTCATCCAATAAGAAAGCACAACCGAATAGCACATTTTTCCAATGGTGGTTGACGCCGACAAAAGGGGCACATATCATGTTATACCTATTAGTTCGATAAGTAGTATCAAATACTACCACATCTCCAAAACAGTCATAGTCAATTCGTGACCTTCCATCTCTCCAAAAAAAAGTTTGTCATTCGGTTTGCTTGATCAACTTGAACTGTGTAAAAGAACATAGGATCTTCAGCTTGTTTGCGCTTGAAAAGGTTCATCAAGCTTTGAGCATCCCCTGCTTCAATCATGGCCATTTTCTCCTTGTTCACAACATTGTAGCAATCTCTTTTTGTAAAACCAACATTTTGAGACCCTCCAACTTCTTCTGCTAAATAAGAATATGTATTTGTGGTCCTTATTCCTGCACCCACCATTGTTTTAATGACACCCAAATTTGAATCTGAAACTTTTCTATTTGATCTCAAAAATTGCCTCTCCTTTGGCTTAGCAAGTTCATGGTTATGCTCAGGAACAAAATGAGAAACTTTCCATGTATCATCTTTATCTTGGAATGCAAATCGAATGCTAGCTTCGCAACCTGTTCTTGTCTCTAATTTGCTAACCTTGCTCAATTCCGAAGGATCACTATCTAGTCGAAAACCTTCTTTTGAACAAAGATAACTAAATTGCCGCAGAACTTTTTTTGTATTGTATCTCTTTTGTCCCTTCCGAACACTAAATCCAACTCTCGTAGCATAATTGTTGTAGAGATTATAAGCTTCCTCTTCAGTGGATACAACCCTTCCAAGCAAATCTTCATCAATATTTTCTACACGGTTAACAATCATTGGATCTTTTTCTCTTACGTTTTCTTCATCACTTTCAACATCAATGAATACTGGCCACAACATCATCTTATCAAACATAGAAATAATAATAATAAATATATATTAAAAAAAAAAAAAAAAAGAGAGAGGAACAACCTGTATAACCTGCATCAATTGACAAAAAAAAAAATCTGCAGCAATCGACAAAAAAAAAAGTGCCGCAATAGACTGAAAAAAAAAAAATCTGCAGCAATCGACAAAAAAAAAAGTGCAGCAATAGACTGAAAAAAAAAAGGTGCAGCAATCGACCAAAAAAAAAAGTGCAGCAGTAGACTGAAAAAAAAAATTACAGCAATAGAAAAGTAAAAACTACAGTAATCGAAAAAAAAGTATATTGCATAACACAGATAGAGGATAGTTGTTTACCTCTATCCATAGCTTTGAGCTTGACCAAAACAAAAAGGCTGCAAAAGTCTTCCTTCTTTTCAGAATAGTGGCGCTTGAAAGTTGGTTACTGACGGTGGTGCAGATTTCGATAAAAGTAATTATGTTTTAGGGTTTGTATTTTATTTCTTAAAACAAAAACAGAAAACAAAAAAGAAAGTTGGTTACTAACGGTGTTACTATTAAATCTGGATGTTAACATTCTCTCTCTTAAAAGACAGTCCCGCCACATGTCATTATGCAATTGGTGCGTACTACCACCTGTCAGTGCCACGTGGTAGTACCGTACTATTGTATAATTTCTCCTTCAAGTGGGTTAAGGAGCAACAAAGAAAAACTCTGTTTCGCTTGTTCTGCATAATGTAGCAAAATTTTCATGCATGATCTTTCAACACCATTTCGGTTCTTATAATAGAGCTGTATATGTAAACGTAATCATTGATTTGAGAAGGAGAAACTTTCACAACGTTTTTAATTTATTTTTGGACAATGATCTCTCAACAAATGGTGATTCGTCTTGTTATGGCCACAATAATTAACTGAGCATGCAATGCATGAGTGACTCAAATCAAGTAGCTAGTCAACTTTTTTTATTATTTTTTTATTTTTAAATTTGTGGGTAGCTAGAAACAAGGAGAAGGAAACACTTGGATTCTCAACTACCAGTCGTACACAATTTCCATTCATGTTACAAAAAGAAAGTACCCTTCAAGTAGCTAGTACCACCACTAGTGTTTGTTCGATCCTCTTCTTCGATGGACAAGGGGGGGTCTTCATTATACAGTACTAGCACTAAGTTGCAAAGAAAACTTTTGCTTTATAATCTATTACTTTTTAATTCCATCATTAAGTCGACTATGATCATAAACTAAAGCAGTTGATTATTATGTTTTTCATTTTAGAAATAAGTAAGAAATAATTTTATCCTCTTAGATTCTTTAATAGTTAGTAAAATATAGAACGGGAAGGATACGAATAAAATACGTACGTGTTTTATTCGGCAAAATTTTAGGTCACTATATAATATTTTGATATAAGAATTTTCAGGTCTAATGGTCCTTGAACTTTCACCTCATGAAGACAATCAATTGTTGGCTCGGATTTATGTTATGATTGAGCTGTGTGTAAAAAGTAAACCTAAGAGTTAGACTTGACCGTAATCATATCTACGCATCTTACGCTTGTCAAACTGAAACAGAAAATTATGGTAATGTGTGCTGCATCAGTTGCAATTAAAGAAAGTTTTTGTTTGAGAATCTTTTACTTTTCAATTTCATCAGTTTCTTTTCATCTCATATATTGAGTTGAACATCTTTGCAAACAACAACTTGGAAACAGAGAAGAAAGAGAGGAATGCATGACAATATGCAAAATGATTCTGCAAAAGCATTTCTTATCCACACAAGATAACAGAAATCCCTATGCCCTACATAAAGGATTAGTAGAATTGATAACGGTCAAGTCTGGCTGCTTAGGTTTACTTTTCACAGCTCAATCATAACATAAATCCTAGACAACAATTGATTCCCTTCAATTCTACTAATCCTTTATGTAGAGCATAGAGTATGAGCATTAAACCCTAAACTAATTGGTCATGTGCGAAGAGGCCCTACATCTCTTAAACTTTTAAGCTAACTTTTCATCCATCCTTCCGTGTGAGATACTCTACAAGTTGGTCAATAGACAAAGCAAAGAAATATACAAGAGTTAGTAAATGATTTATAAAAAGTATGAATATTTGTCATTTTGTGGGGTCCATTTTAGGTGTAATAAAGCTCCCAAACACATTGCAAAGAAAGTTCACCTCAAACTTCTTGCTCCAGTGTGTTTGTTTTTTCTTCTGAAGAAGAAATGGTAAACCTGAATAATTTGTCGTAGTTAGTGGACTTGACTCGTAACAGTACTACTCATAGGTCAATGATATGGCATTAATATATTTCTGCCTAGCAGCTGCAGAAGTTGCCAGGAGGTAATATTAACTATCTCTGCACCTTCCTTATTTCTTTTAGTATTATCCGAGAGAAAGCTTAGGCTCAAGAATGAGCGTTTTGCTTTGCTAGCTAAGTTCTAATTCCAAGCTTCCTACTAGGCAGGCAGATAGGTAATTAAAGAGAAGGAAGAAGAAACATAATGGTTGGCCAGTTGCTACTTCATATCACTCTGTTCTTGTGGTCTATGAGTAATGCACTACTAGCAGTAGCATCAGAAGCATCCTTGGCAAAACCAAATTGTTTGTCGCAATGCGGAAACATCACTCAAATCCCGTATCCTTTCGGAATTGGAGCAGGTTGTTACCTGGACGATTGGTTCCAAATAATATGCGACAACTCAGCCAGCCCTCCGAAGGCTTTCTTGAACCGGACTGGGTTAGAGGTGCTGGAAATTTCTCTTGGAGGCACACTTACAGTCACAAGCGCAATCACCTTCTCTAATTGCAATAACAAGAAAAGCGACCGCCAGGCACCCAACGTGTTTGGAAGCCCTTTTGTGTATTCCCAGAGCAACAGATTCACTTCAATCGGTTGTGAGGTAATTGCCTTGATGTCAGATTTTGGGAAACCACTTGCTGGGTGCTATTCCATTTGTGATAATACTGCTCACAGTAGTAGTACTATCTTTCCAAATAACAGCTGTAGTGGTTTGCACTGCTGCCAGACCACCATTTTGAAAGGTCTTTCATTCTTCGATACTACTTTTCGAGCAATGCTAAACGATAGTGAAAGTGAAAAGGAATGCAAGTATGCCTTCCTGGTAGACCGCGATTGGTTTATGTCAACAAATATCTCTACCATTGTGGACATGGACAACGTCCCTGTAGTGCTGGAATATCAGTTGCGTCAATATTCTGCACAGGATATATATGGAACATATAACTTTTCCCCTCAAAACATGACCTGCAACAATCATTGGCAATGTTCTTGCAAAACGGGCTATCAAGGAAACCCCTATCTTCTTGATGGATGTCAAGGTACGCAAGCCTACCCTAATTTTTGTATATGTCCAAATCAAAAGTCATGCTCAAATTATGAGAATTCCTTTTTTCAGTACTGATTTGTACGTTACCCTAATTTTTGTTGGGGAGTTTCACTAAAACACCCAAAATGGGGGTTGAAATTATAAAAAAATCCAAGCACTATTTAAACATATAAACACACCCAAAACCCATCATTACACACACTCAAAACCCATTTATAAACACACCCAAAAAGTTGACTTTGGAGTTGATTTTGGGTGTGTTTCTATGTTTAAATAGTGCTTGGGTTTTTTTATAAATACATGTCTAGGATTGGGTTTATTTATAAATTTGTATTATAATTAACCATCCCTGATCTTCCTTTTTTCCCCCATTTTCCACTTGTCATTAAATATTCCAGATATCGACGAATGTCTCAACTCCTCTAGTTGTCGTGCGGGCACTTGTATAAATCGTCCAGGGGACTTTGTATGCTACCAGCCGGATCCACGACCAATTCGACGGATTAACGTGGCCGTTTTAGGTATGCAAATGCACTTTAATGAATTAAACTTTGGGCCCTTTGGTGGAAAATTTGACATTATAGACATATTTGTCACACACAAAAAAAAAATAAAAAATCTTCTTGATCACGTTATCAATATTTGTATCTTATTGAGCTACTCAGTTGCTGGCGGTGTGATTGGACTCTTGTTTCTACTCATTGGAGCTTGGTGGTCGCACAAAGTTATAAAGAAGAGGAAGGATAACAAACGCAAGCAAAAGTTTTTTAAACAAAATGGAGGTTTGTTGTTGGAGAAGCAATTATCTTCTGGTGAAGTTAATGTTGAGAAAATTAAGTTGTTCAGTTCAAAGGATTTAGACAAAGCCACAGACAAGTTCAGTATAGATAGAATTCTTGGTCAAGGAGGTCAAGGTACTGTTTACAAAGGAATGTTGTCAGATGGAAGAATTGTTGCTGTCAAGAAGTCAAAAATAGTTGATGGAGGAGAAGTCGGACAATTTATTAATGAAATTGTCATTCTTTCACAGATTATTCACAGAAATGTGGTTAAAATATTGGGGTGTTGTTTAGAGACTGAAGTCCCCCTTTTGGTTTATGAATTCATACCCAATGGAACGCTTTCTCAGTATATTCATCACCCAGATGAGGAGTTTTCTCTTACATGGGAAATGCGCTTACGAATTGCCATTGAAGTTGCAGGAGCTCTTTCCTACTTACACTCAGCTGCTTCCTTTCCCATTTACCACCGAGACATCAAGTCTTCTAATATACTCTTGGATGAAAAGTACAGAGCAAAAGTAGCTGACTTTGGGACTTCAAGATCAGTTTCCATTGATCAAACGCACCTCACTACACTAGTACATGGAACGTTTGGTTATCTGGACCCGGAGTACTTCCAATCAAGCCAATTTACAGAGAAGAGCGATGTTTATAGCTTTGGCGTGGTCCTTGCTGAGCTCTTGACTGGACAAAAACCAGTTTCTTTCATGAGGTCACAAGAAAGCAGAAGTCTAGCAACTTATTTCCTGCTTTCCATGGAGAATAATCTTCTATTTGATATTCTTGATTCTCAAGTTATGAAGGATGGTAGAAAGGAAAAGATTACAGCAGTTGCTAACCTTGCTGTTAGATGCTTGAATTTGAATGGAAGGAATCGTCCTACTATGAAAGAAGTAGCAGTGGAGTTGGAGGGAATTCAATTGTCAGTTAGAGCTGAGACATATGTTCAACAAGTTTTCCCAGAGGTCCGATGTGTCCAAACTAAGGAAATAAATGAGGTTTGGGATGTTGTTTCTTCATCAACTGGTGCTTGTACGGATGGTGGTACAGGTTCTTCATTCGATGTACAACCGCTATTGTTTTTCAATACACAGTGAACAAATATTTGTTGTAATTATATATTCTCGGTTTTTGGACTTGGAATCATTTTTTAGACTATCACCTTATCTGTAAGGAAATTTTCTAGCTCTGTTTGTTGTGTTGGATTTTATGCAAGATGAGAGAAGAGAATAATGGAAACAAGATGAACTTAGAGGCTTTTTTTGGGTCTGAACTCAGAGGTCTAAAACTCAGACTTGGTTCTCAGATATATTTTGGATTGCTTAGTTTTCTTAATTAAGAGAGTTTTCCTCTCTTGATACAGCTAAAGGAGTTGTGTGTACTCGAAACCCCAAAAAAAAAAAAAATTGGCAGAAGAAAAATTAATAATTAAATAATACTTTTCAATTTTAATTTATTTTTGGACAATGACATCTCAACTCAACACATGGTGATTCGTCTTGTTATGGCCACAATAATTAACTGAGCATGCACTGCATGAGTGACTCAAATCAAGTAGCAAGTCAACTTCTTTTTCTTTTTCTTTTTTAATTTGTGGGTAGCTAGAAATAATGAGAAGGAAACAGTTGGATTTTCAACTACCAGTCCCCTACAATTTCCATTCCAACCCACCACCAGTGTGTTGTTCCTTTTCTTCGATGGACAAGGGGGGGTCTTCATTATACAGTACACGCACTAAGTTGCAAAGAAAACTTTTGCTTTATAACTTTTTAATTCCATCATTAAGTCGACTATGATAATAAACTATAGTTTCAGACCAAAAAAAAAAATGATAATAAACTATAGCAAGTTGAGATGGCAGTCAAGTATGGAGACTTTTCACACGAATTCAATCACATATGGATATTGTTTGCCTATTTTCCTAAAAGGACATACTCCTCTACAAATTACAGTTTCACTTATGTGGCAAATTACGTTTTGACATATATATATATATCCCTTTTTATTAAGGGATCCCTCAAATAATTTTATTTAAGGGACACCCTTAAGGGTTCCCTACAATTTTTTTTTTAACGATCCAAACTATCTATTTTTTAAGTTTACATTCATAAATCATTCTCGCAAAAAATTAGACAATTCAGAAACCGTTTCGACATCCAATTGTGTCCTACAAAATCGATGAATACGGTACTTCAAGAAAGTACAAAAATTTTCAATAATTCAATTGAGTGGTCAAATAATATCGGATGCAAATGATTTTGTTTTTGTTTTTGTTTTTGTTTTTGTTTTTGTAGAGATATATTTAAATGAATATCTACAAAATAGATTGTTTGGATTAGTGAAATAAAATATGGAGCGAGTCCTATAAGAGTGTTCCTCAAATTAGCATATTTGAGGGAACTCTCAACCGAAGCTCCCTCTATAAATATATGGAATGGAATTATTCTTTTTCTTAAATGATAAGATAATATAAAGGAGATTTTTTGGAAATTGGATCCAAGATTTGTTGGAAATCGGGGGGAGATATTCCTATCGTAAATCAGGAATAATTGGCTAATTAAATCAGATTTAATTAGCTCAATTATTTGACCTAAGGAATATTCCACTATCCACGTTAGTACGTTACACCTTGTGATTGGATGCCAAACCTTGTGTTCCCACATGGTCTAAAGCAGATATCATCACAGTTGCTAACCTAGCAAGGAGGTGTTTGAATTTGAGTGGAATGAAGCGTCCTATAATGAGAGAGGTCACCTGCAGAGCTGGAGGTGTTTGAAAAAACTTCAAATGAAGTTCCACTATTACCTTCCATGTCATGCTGAACAATAATGAAATATTTCTTAATTGTAATATTGTAATGCATGTTCCATATATGTTATGTTTTTCTCCTTCTCAAGTCAACTTTTCCGGTCAGAATGCGACTAGAGTTTCAACCAAGAATATCATAGCTAAATTGAATGTTTGCCATTTAAACACAAATCAAGGGATATATAGAAATTAATTACGACTAGATCACTCGAGAAAATCATTAGACTTTATACAGTGAAAATAAAACCAAATATTATTGTTTAGTTTAAAACTTTGTTTCTTCAAGTGGAGGGTTGCATTATTTTTTCAAAATATTATATTGTTTAGTTAATTAATGTTACGTGCTGAGCTCTATGATTAGTAATCATTGACTTGAGGGCAGCTATATATGCAATCATTGATTTGATTTCACAACATTTTTATCTACTTGAAAACGACAAGATAATATATGCAAGTCAGTCAACTTTTTTGTTTTTTGGTTTTTTATTTTTATTTTTATGTACTGCATTTCCTGAACCCTGAACCCTACAATTTCCACTCACATTCCAAAAGGGAAAGTAGCCTTCAATTCGAACCCACTTTTCTTCGGTCGACAAATTGTCTTTATTATATATGGTACAAAGCACTGAGTTGCAAAGAAAACTTTTGCTTGATAATCTTTCATCCGAGCATAGGAACAATGCAATCGCAAGCACTTCATATGATGATTTTATTATTAATATTCCTCGTGTTGTTGATCATATATACATGTGCAGCAGCTGCAGCACCAGAAGTTTATTATCCGAAAGCGAAGCCGGACTGCAAAGAGAAATGCGGAGGCGTCTTGATCCCCTACCCTTTTGGAATTGGACGCGCAGATTGCTACTTAGACGACTGGTTTGAAATCAAGTGCAGCAACCAGTCTTCTAAGCCTTTTTTGAAGCGAGCCCAACTGGAGGTGCTGAATATTTCTATTGGAGGCGCGTCTGAGGCTACGGTAGGCACGCTTCAAGTGAACAGCCCCGTTACCTTCTTTTGCAACGGAAATGGAAGTAGCAAAATGGCTAATTTGACGGGCAGCCCTTTCGTCTACTCTCAGGACAAAAACAGATTCACTGCGGTTAGTTGCGGCTTCCTTGCCACGATGGAATCAGCTGAGTTTGTGGTTGGTGGCTGCAGGTCAGTTTGTGGTAATCAAAACTATGCTTCCTGTGATATTGGTATCAACTGTTGCCAGACTACCATTCCTCCATATCTCACAATGATGAGCGCCTCCATTCTATACAAAAGGTGAAACTCGAAACGCGGATTGCGACGACTATGCGTTTCTGGTTGACAAGGATTGGTTTGAGAAATCTTCTCCTCATGCAGTCAAGAGTAGAAGCCACGTTCCTGTGGTGCTAGAATGGAATATAATCAACTCTACTTCTTCATTCGCATTATTTGGAAGACACGTTACAGAGAATTTTATTTCATTTTTTACTAGTTTATTTGACGCTGTACCCTTCTGCAATATCTACACTTTTGATTCCAACAATCGCTCAGCGCTTTATTGTTTCTGCCGAGAAGGCTTTGTAGGAAATCCCTATCTTCTTCAAACTTGTCAAGGTACGTATGTAATTAACTATATCTAGCTTCCGTCTCTGCGTTTTATTTTTCTTTGCGTTTGTTTTGTTTGTTTTCTTAACCTTTTGAGGTATTATTGGGGTTCAAACGCCATGCATATATCATCGTACATAGTATACGATTTTGGAATTAAACAGAGTTGATTTCTCTTTAAAAAGAAAAGAAAAATATGGTCAAACAAATGGTCACTTAATTTGTAATTTCATTTAATGTGAAAAATATGGTCAGACATATGGTCATCAACCGGTAACAACCTAAACTCAAACATATAGTCAAACATTTGGTTTGGGAAAATTCTACTTACAAATTACAATCCAAATTGCCATCAACAGTTCAGAGCTAGTTTGGTCATTCTTCACTGTTCACTATATTAGAGGTCTCTGGACTTAATTATTTATTGAACATAAACTCTGCCTAAGTGTCCAGGAATTTTAGACATAAACTCTTTTGCATATTGCCATCAACAGTTTATTTTATGGGCACAAGACATAAGCTTGGTTTGCAATTTGTGATCATTTATCATTTTACTGAGTTATATATTGCAGGTCTTGGTGCTGGTCTTGGACTGTTACTTTTGCTTATCGGTGCATGGTGGGGATACAGATTCCTAAAGAAACGTCATACCATGAAGCGCAGGGAGATGTTCTTCAAGCGAAATGGTGGATTGTTGTTAGAGAGGTGAAGTTAATGTCGAGAAAATCAAGCTATTCAAATCAAAGGAGTTGGAGATGTCAGGCCAGGGAGGCCAAGGTACTGTTTATAAAGGCATGCTGACTGATGGAAGAATTGTTGCTGTGAAAAAATCTAAAATAATGGACGAAAGCCAACTTTCAGTGTAACACCCCGACCCCAAATTTATCCCATGTTTAATTAATTTAAGTGGAATTGAAAAATTACCCGTGGGATAAGGGTATTTTGGTCATTTTCTTACCCGGAAGGAATTTGGGAATTTCGGTTGTACCGTTGCGTAGAGCACGGTGAGATGAGTCCGTAGACACGTAGTGGGCTCGAATCGGAGTTGTAACGAGAGAGATATGGTCAAATGAAGCTCAGTGGCATAATCGTAAATATTTGGAAAATGGATTTTTGGTTAAAAAGATGGAATTGCCCCCGTCTGTCTCTCTCTCTCGCGCGCGCGTCCCTCTCTCCCTCCGCTGGGTCGCGACAGCAATGGAGGCCGGCCACC